AGGCAAGAATACTGAAGTGGGTTGCCATGCCCTCCTTCAGGGGATCTTCCCAACTCAGGGATTGAACCCATGTCTCTTAGGTCTCCTGCATTGAGTTCTTTACCACTTTACCACCTGGGGGAGCCCAAAAGATTATTCCACAAAGAGACTACCACTCTATCAGAAAGGTAATCAACTGTGCTGGTTGGCTGAACTTAAGCTACAGTGCTGGGAAATATAGAAGCGTACAGTAAGTTAGAGCAAAATCTTCTCCATGACATTTGTCTACATGCTTCCACTCCACAGAGCTCCTAGTACTTGAAAGTAATGGGTGTGGAGCACTTCATGCATGCCGAAATCTGTAGTAGGTAGCATTTACAGAGCACCACCACAGGCCAGGCCCCATGGTGGATATTTCTGGCACATCTCATTGAAACTTCTCACTAACCTGGTGGTCAGGTAGTTCGCATTATCTGCTTTATAGATGAAGAAACTGAGTTTTAGATGTTGTATGGTTTACCCAAGGTCCCAAAAGCTAGCAAGAGGCAGAGCTAGAATTCAAGCTCAGGTCCCTCCATCTATCAAGCTTGTGCCTTTAAGAAAATATCAAGTGGCATCATATATATACATTGAAATCTAGGCCCAAATCACCAGAAAATGACCAGAGCCCCTAAACTCAGTGGAAAGAGGTCAGAGGGCAGGTGAAAGCTTTCTTTTGAACAGAGCAGAATTTCCTCCACCCTCGGTACACAGTAGGCAGTCAATAAATGACTGTTAAGCTGAACTGACCCAGAGGGCCTCCCACTCAATCGTATGTGTGTGTGTGCGCGCTGAGAGGACAGGTGGCAGATGGTACCTTTCATATGCCTTACGAGGTTAATTTGGAAAAGGCAAGGCTGCCTATGTTCTTGTCTGATGGGGATGTGGCTCTGGGAAATCCTATAAGACACACACACACCAGGCTGTTTTGAAGTGCATGAGACAAAGAAACTCAGAGTGCACCCCAGGGAATCAGTGATGACCTCAGATGCAAAGTATGAAGTGAGTCAATTCTGGAACCTCAGCGAATTTCACAGACTAAACAGTGGGGGGTGAGCACTCGTGACTTCTGCTTGACGGAGCAGGCAACAAGACCCGGTGGCTGCTAGGTTTGCACAAGACTCTTCCTTCACTGATAAGCACAACTGACCTATCTTGGAGTAGATCAGTAAGCAGAGACCCATGCAGAGGGCATTTCCTCTGCCAGGGGCTGCCAGTATTTCCACTGTTTCTGGATTCATCCTCAAAGAGTTCAGGATAGAGCAGAAGCTGGGCACCTCTCTGCCGAGAATATCTGGAAGGAGACTGGTGATAAAGACTCAGAGGCCACAGTAGCCAAAAAGTCTGCGACAGGAGAGGACAGGGCCTGGAGGACAGGCTTGCACAGTGTCCAGACAGTAAAGATTTAATTGTTTCAGATTGGAGGGAGGGGACAGGCGGGAAGCATGAGAGAAGAAAGAAGACACAAATGAAAGAATAACGGCCAAGGCCATACTAAAAATACTTCCCAGCCACATACTTCTCCCAATGCATAGCAGCGTTTCAGTGAAGGATGTGTCATTTCCTGGGTTATTAAATCCAGATCATGGAACATTCCACTCTGGGACAGTAAAAGAGGGTTGCGTTCCCAGCCTCCCTCAGCACAAAAGCACCAAAGAATGGGGATCACGGCTCTCAGTGTTTCACCCCCAACTCCCCACTGAGCTGCCTGAGAGAAAGTTTCACTTCAGAGTCTGGCCATGGAAAGCTTAGGGGGGACCAGCGTGGCACTCTTTCTCAGGTACTCCAGAAGTCGCTACAGTCACCTTGAAAGGCATCATCATCTCAAGCCTGTAGGACTCAGAATTAGAGGACAAAGAAGTGTTAATAGCCACTTTGCCTTGGTTACTACAGCAAATGCTGGTGACCATTAACATCTTGCAAAGCCAAGTCACATCGCACGAAGTCTGCCCTAACAGGCCCTGTGAAGCTTAGAAAGAAATCACAAAGCCCTCTTGGTGCTGGGCCCAGGGGCCTGCATACAGCCAAGTACCCCATGATGTCTCTCTCTCTTTCTCAGGGAGGAGGACCATATGATCAAGTATGATCAAGGAGCGCTCGAGAGGGTCCCCACAATAGCTCTTTTCAAACATTTAAGTAGTTCGGAAACAAACAAACAAAAAAAAGTAGTTCGGAACCTCTCACACCTTAACCTGTCCTAATCTGCACCTGAAGCAATGGGTTTGCCACTCAATCACCCTAACAGCCAGAGTCTTGCTGAAGGTGAACTGCAGAGAAACTGAACAGCAAAACTGGCTTCAAAGCTAATACGAGAACTGAGGATTTCAACTCTAAACGAAAACAAAAAAACAATCTAAGGAATGGGAGAAAATATTTGCAAGCGATGTGACCAACAACAAGGGGTTACCTTCCAAAATATGCAAACAGCTCATACAATTAACATTAAAAAAAAAAACAATCAAAAAATGGGCAGAAGACCTAAACAGACATTTCTCTCCAAAGATGACATATAAATGGCCTACAGGCACATGAAAAGATGCTTAACGTTGCTAATTATTAGAGAAATGCAAATGAAAACTACAATGAGGTAACACCTCACACTGGTCAGAATGGCCATCATCAAAAAGCCCACAAATAATAAATGCTGGAGAGGATGTAGAGAAAAGGGAATCCTCCTACACTGCTGGTGGGAATGTAAATTAGTGTAACCACTATGGAGGACAGTGTGGAGGTCCCTTAAAAAAACTAAAAATAGAGCTACTCCTGGGCATATATCTAGAAAAGACGAAAACTCCAATTTGAAAAAATACATGTGCCTCAATGTTCACTGCAGCACTATTTATAATAGCCAAGTGCCTAGCAATAGACAATTGATTTAAGAAGATGTGATACACACACATACACTAGAATATCACTCAGCCATTAAAAAAAATGAAATATTACCATTTGCAACAACATGAATAGACCTAGATAATATCATACAAAGTGAAGTCAGACAAAGACAAATAGTATATCACTTACATGTGAATAACACAAATGAATCTATTTAAAAAACAGAAACAGAGTCACAGACATACAAATTTATGGTTACCAAAGGGGTAAGTGGGGGAGGGATAAATTAGGAGTGTGGCATTAATAGATACACACCACCACATATAAAACAGATAAACAACAAAGATTTACTGTGTATCACAGGAAACTATATTTAATATCTTGTAATGAGAGTCCCTTGGACTGCAAGGAGATCCAACCAGTCCATCCTGAAGGAGATAAGTCCTGGGTGTTCATTGGAAGGACTGATGCTGAAGCTGAAACTCCAATACTTTGGGCACCTCATGCGAAGAGTTGACTCATTAGAAAAGACCCTGATGCTGGGAGGGATTGGGGGCAGGAGGAGAAGGGGACGACAGAGGATGAGATGGCTGGATGGCATCACCGACTCGATGGGCATGGGTTTGAGTAAACTCCGGGAGTTTGTGATGGACAGGGAGGCCTGGTGTGCTGCGATTCATGGGGTCGCAAAGAGTCGGACACGACTGAGCGACTGAACTAAACTGAATAACCTATAATAAAAAAAGAATCTGAAAATATTTAAATACACATATATAGATAAAAAACTCAATCACTCTGCTGTATCCCTGAAACTAACACAAGGCTGTGAATCAACTCTACTTCAATTACAAAAAAAAAAAGAAAGAACTGAGGGTTCTAAGGAGGAAAGATCCTCTGAGATCAGACAAGTTTGGACCACATGATGTTTTCCAACAAATTTGCCTGTCACTGACATCTAAAAATCAGGAGACCTCAGATGAAAAACTTTCTGACTTCTGTTTTGATGCAATTATCCATCAGAAACGGAAATCCTAGGTCGGCATGTGGTGTCTGACTGGAGTCAAGGAGCGGTTTCCCCTCTGGGCTGGGCATGCACTGTACAGCTCCCATGAGCTGCCCTGCTCCCCCGAGTTTGCACACAGAGCTCTGTCCTCAAGTCCTCATCTTCCCTGCCACCTTTGGGCAAATGAGGTGACAACTCATGACCTAGTCCCTCCTGTTTTCCACCGCACAGAACTGATCCCATCTCTTACTCTCTCTCCAATCTCAAATCCAGTTCTTTGCCATGGGCTGCAGGATTCCCTGTGTTTTTGGATTCTTCTTCAAAGAGTTTGGGAGGGAGTTGATACTGGACCCCCTCTGCTGGGAAGATGCAAAGGATCCTTTAGATGAAGACTTAAAGGCAACTGTAGCCAAAGGGGACAGGCCTCCCCAGCCCTGAGCAAGAGGTCTCCTTAGACCTCCCCACCCTGGCCAAGCCCTCCTCTATCCCAGATCAGAATCTGTTCCAATGGACACACATTTATATGTGCATGGGCGTCTCTTCTTCCTGTTGTTTCTACTGGTCCACTGGAAGGAAAAAAGCAAACACTGCTTCACCGAAAACTGCATCATGAAGTACCCATCCCTTGCCCAGATCGGACGGTGAACACAAGCAGAGAGCCCCAACTCTAAACACTGAAGAATTTTTCAGGAAGCAGCAGGGCTGTCACGAAAGGAGGATGGCCACTTGGAAGAAGACAGTGACCACAGAAATCAGAACAATAACAACAGGGGCTCAGTGAAGAATCAACTGGACATTTTACAGCTTACTTCTTATTTCACAACAACCCTACAATGTAGGCAGGTGGTATTACACCATTTTCAGAGATGAGGAAAATGAAGATAGAAACAACTGTGCTAGGGACTTCCCCAGCCGTCAGGTGGTTAAGACAGTCCCGTCCACTGTAAAGGGTGAGGGTTTGACCCCTGATTGGGGAACTAAGATTTCACATGCAGCCAAAAAAGTTAAAAAACAAAGACAGTGCTAAAGTTGACATTTCTCTCTGGGCTAGTGGTTGACCCTTCTCCATGCTGCCTGCACAAGCCTGTCCTGGTGTGGTAAGCCTCTCCCAGGACCGGCCCAGGGCGGACTGCATGGGCCTACTCACGCTCTGCCATTCGTCTCCTGCCCACTGGCTGCTGTCTTTGACTCCAAGGCATTGTTGAAGCTGGAGATGTTTTCAGAGGAGTAGAGGCCAGCTGGGTTGTTGTACTGGTTTGTGATGATCCTGGGGGCAGAGCTGGAGGCGGGTGAGGCAGTAAAAGGCACGGCACTCCGGTTGTGGGCGCTTCCTATATGGAGGGCCTCCTGCAGGCAGGGATCAAAGGAGAGATCAAGGCGGTGTCCGGTATGTACCACTAAGTGGATGATCCAGGGGGAGTACCAGAGAGAGAGAGAGGTGTTCTAATGAGCTACAATGGCCCTGATTCAATGCCAAATTAGCTGAGGGGCTCTGACAAATAAATCCACCTGACCTGGAGCAAGACTCAGGACACTGCATGAGCTGGGAACATGTGGAGGTTCACTGCCAGCTCTGTTTCCTGATCCTTTCCTGAGGTCCAGCAGAGCCTGATCTCCTGCTGGGTAGCCCTGGGCAGGACATCCCTTGATGCCCTAGGCTGTCGGGATCCAAGTCAGAGCTGAAACACCCTTTCAGGACACATTCCAGAGGGATTAAGTACCAGGAGGAGAGGAACTGGCATCACTTCAGTGCAGAGCAGGAGATGATAAAAGGTAGAGATAAATTCCCCAGAAAGGAAAGGTTTAGACAAGCAGGTTAAGAGGGTTGTGGTGTCAACACTGAAGCGGCTGATGACTAGGCAGGCAAGCCTGGGTGCACTAGCAGAAGTGTCAACACTGAAGCGGCTGATGACTAGGCAGGCAAGCCTGGGTGCACTAGTAGAAGCAGGCTACAGGGAATGAATGAGCTGTTGCTTCTTGTGGGGGAAGGCAAAGCTGATAAGATGGAAGGCTGGGGGATACCTATTATGGGGCAGTGCCCAGGTAGCTGCAAGAAAGCACTTTAAGTTCCTCCTGTGCTCATCCCCCTCCTTCTGTAATTTGGGGAAGCACCCACCATACACCTCCACTCTAGACTGCCAGGTCTCAGTAGATAATTACTACAGCTACATTACCTCAGAGCTACTCTATGAATACCCCTCAAAGGTTTTTGAACTAACATTCCTTTAAAAAAAAAAAAAAGAAAAGGAAAAAAACACAGCTTTTCTGATGACTCAGCAAGGTGCTTTCTGCACAGGCATTCTGGGTCAAACCCTGCTCCTAGCCGAGAGCATGCCCTGTGCAGTCTACTAAATATGACGTATGCCCTATTTTCTGGGCTTCCCAGAAATCTTCCTGAAATCCAGACTCCTTCTTAACACTCAGACCCAGAACAACTGCCCAAGAATTCCTGTCCTCTGTTGCTCTTCCTTTTTTTTTTCTCTTTCTTCACTAAACCTTAAAGTCTTTCATGCTTTCTCAGAAACTGATGATGAAAACCATCAGTTTAATTCACTGTGTACTGACTTAGCTCAATCAGTAAAGAATCAGCCTGCAATGCAGGAGACCAGGGTTCGATTCTTGGGTTGGGAAGGTCCCCTGGAGAAGGAAATGGCAACCCACTCCAGTATTCTTGCCTGGAGAATCCCATGGATAGAGGAGCCTGGCAGGCTACAGTCCACGGGGTCGCAAAAGTCAGACATGACTTAGCAACTACACCACCATCACTGACTTAAAAGACAACATGAAAATGTGTTTATGATGATACAGACAGGCTCCCTCTTTGACATGTTGGAATCAGTGAGGTTTTCCTTATGCTGAGCTGACTTGATCCACATTGGACAAAAGTTTAGTACATGTAGTGTGTTCACCAAAGCGAAGTATAATTAGTTCTGCAAATAACTTTAGCAAAGTTTTAGGAAAGTTTTTACTGCATGAGGAATAACAATGAATAAGAAGTGGTCTTTAACGGCAGCAGACCTCCCAAGGGGTGGCCTGGGACCCTGCAGCTCTGTAGGGCAGTCGCACAAGTGGCAGCCAGGATGGCGATTCTTTTCTCCTTTCTCCTTCCCTGTAGCAATTCTGAGGAGCATCTCTTGATGCTGAGCACCAGGGAAAAGCCCTCATACTCTGTCTTGGCTCAGGTTTTTCCCTGTTGTTTCCTATTTGGCTTTGGACAAGTTAATCTCTCTTAGCCTCTGGACTCTGCCTGGCAGGCACCACAGCAGACAGTCAACCAGCGTCATTCCCTTCTCCCTCCACAGAAATCCACGTTCAACTGCAACGGAAGTCAGTAGAAAACGCAGGTTGGAAATCTGATTTTTCACTCTACAGAGAATCTCCCAAGAATGTATATGTTTTGTACATAAAAGGAGTATCTCTAACCCCAAGTGAATACTGGTCTTCCCAGAAGTCAGGCGGTTAATTCAGGCCTGCCTTTTGGAAGGGATGATGTCATTGTTTGGGCTTTGTATTTATCAGTCTCCAAGGAAACTCAATAATGAGGAAATATAAACTAGGTGTGTAACTACACTGACCTCAGATAAGCTGGGGTGTGGGCTGGCCTTACATGAACGAACAGATCCTTCAATTACAGATGAACTCTGCTCTTACTCACTCCTCTGTTTTAGAGTGACTGGAAGTGGAAGATTTTGGGAAAATGAGAGATGGGAAGTTTTTCATATGAACAAAGAATTACTGGAATTCAAAAAAATATATAGTCAAATTAAATGTTAAAGTGTTAGAGGTTTTTTTTTTTAACCTGAAGAAAATTACCTTCAAAAGAGTAATGATAGGTACTCATGTTTAAGATGGAAATTCAAGTATAATACATATAAAAAGTATAACTGAAATTTAAGTATTTCCTTCCTGAAGTGAAAAACTAGGATTTTAGAAAGACTGTACTAAAACAAAATCATTCCTTATATAAAACATATGACGACTTAACAGATTAAAACTTAACATTTATAGTAAACTTAATGAAGTGGCTGAGAACTCCCTAGGAAACTGGAATTGACTGTGGCATGTTTTAAATTAGTTTGCACAGTTGCCAATTTATAAACTGAATGCCATTTCATGAACTTTCCTTAGAGGAGCTGTAGAGAATAACACAGTCATGTCAGTTTTGCAATGGCAGATACAAAATGATCCTCAAAGTGACTGTTAGGACTAAGTATTATTTTTATTAATTAATGGGAAAAATTTTGTGTGATTACATTTCTGACATTTTAATGGAAGACATTTGAGAAATACCATTCACATACAACCACTAATTTACCCACACTAACGTACCAGTGAGTTCAATTTTATACCAGTTTCTGTTTTAGGTATAAAAGATAACTAGCTATATTTTATCTTTTGATTATATCTTAATATACCATAAATATGAAACAGTGTCTGAAATTGAGAAAAAAAACTAAACTTCAAATTTTCAATTGGGGCTAAATATATAACAATCACAAACCATTTTAAAAGAAGTTTTCAAAAGCCATTATTGACTTACTACTAACATACCACTAACAACTCATTCATTTATCCAACAGACACACTGTGAAAAGTAGCCTACCAAGCATGAGGAGTTTTACAAAGATGTTCTAAACATTCTTTACATTTCCTGTCCTTATTGCTAAAGAACATCCATCCATTCACTGTAGAGAAGAAATGAAATCATTATTAATGATTCCAAATATGGGATCTCCAGACAATTTCCCATCCCAAGAAATTCTATTTGGCCAACAAACTGTGCATTGACTCCCTACCCTATTTTCCAATATGAACTACCAATTAATTTTAGTAATTTTAAGGAAAACTAGAGCACTTAGCATTTCCACCCTAAGACTCTTGTAAACCAGGCAGTGGGATGAAGGGTGGCCAGGGATATCTGGGTCCACTACTACATTTCCCTGCAGTCCTCTAAGTTGTAGGCCTCAGAACCCAAACTTCCTTCCATCTTTAGCACAATTCATTTGCATCGGGAGTCCATCAAGAGCTGAGTCAGTGCTTCTATTTTGCCGTGGTTCTGCCACTCTGTTCTACACAGGAAAGCTTCCACCCGCTTCCGTATCCCCTTCCTAACCCCAGTGTCCAGCCCAGGCCCTGACGTCACTGCTCTGGGGTTTTCCAGCCCTTTCCTCCTGCAGTTCCCTTACGGGAAGAACCAAATAAGAGCCAGGTCCCAGTCGTGTCAGTGGAGGGCCCTTCCTGCATCCTATCCCCAGCATCCAGGGCAGGAAAAACAGGGGTGAGCTGAGCTGTGTCAAAAGCAGAAAGGTCTCAGGATGCTAAAAGCAACAGTGCTGGTGAGCAAGTACTTACTTGGGGTTCAGAGGCTAAATTCATCTTGTATGGGTGACGTTTCCCTTCCTCTGTCACCAGAGGAGACCAGATTTTCTGTTCAGATCTGCAACAGATTGACAAAGCTAAGCTGTTTCATGCATGCTAGTAAATAATACATGCTAAAAATGGAGTGGGGAAGTGTCCCCTCTTACCCAGCTACTAGCACTCTGCTTCCCAGCCTCCCCTCTATTTTACCACTGATGTGATTTTCGGAAGCATCAACCTTATGACATCATGTCTGATTGCTGCTCTGACAGCTGCCCACTCAGCCCTGAGGGATTTCCCAGGCTGCTGGTCCTTCGTCTAGCCTCGTCCCTCCCCCAATACATTCTGTGCTGCTGACCCAGCTGCACCGGCCTCCTCCAGGCTCCTGAACCTGCCTGATGCCACCCCACCTCTGCTCAGGACAGAATGAGCTTCTCTATCTCATCCACTGTTCTTGATCCAGACCAGAAAACCAACTTGATCATGGTGCCTCTTCTGAACTTGGAAAGCATGTCTCTGTACCATTACACAGCAGTGCTCTAGGTCTCCTCTCAGTTATCTTTAGTGTTTTTGTTTTTCACTCTTACAGGTACAGAATATTTGTACTTATCCTTCAATGGTCAGATTGTCTAGCACAGGGCCAGATATATACAAGATGTAGCTGCTCAGTTTAATGGTAAATGGATCAAAAAATCAATCTATGAATGAATGTCCAGAAGGAGAAGATCTGCACTGAGACAGGAATGGAGGATGAAGGGTAAATGTGCTCCTGAGGGGATAGTAATAAAACAGTGAGGGGAGGGCTCTGAAGCATATAAGATGGTTTGACATCCTGCCCCACATTTGGTCCTCCTGCCAGTCCTGATGCACAAGGCAGAAGAAAGCCATAAAGCTACTTTGCAGAGGAGAGCACAGGGGTCACGATGAAGCACCGTGCAAGCTAAGGTTAGTGAGACATTAAAGACAGGTGACCAGGAGATCCGAATAAAGAATGTAAACTTGATCCAACAGGAAACAGGGAGCCATACAGGTCGAACCGAATCACTTCTGAAACCACGCCTTTACAGGACCCCTTCCAAGACTACATGGAAGAGAAACGAGAACTCTGCCCCAATTTCGACTCCCAGAGCATTCTTCTCACTCGTCAACTCTAGCTCTCCTTTCTTAAACTTTCAGCACTTTGTCTAATGTGCTTAATGGAGTCTTTCTCTGTAACTGTAATCTAGTGCAGCATCCAGGGTTCAGTGCTGTGCGGCGGAAGCAGTAGATTCTCAGAGGTTTCATTTCATTATACCTGACAGTATATAATTGATTTTACTTCCTCAAAATTTTGATGAGTTGTGTTAGATCAAGTGAAAATTCAAGTATTTTAGAAAAAGATGCCCACACGGTGAGAAGCACTGTGAAAAATCAGAGAGGAAGATGAGCAATCTGAAATTCCAATTCCACAGACCTTCAGCCTACCTACACCACACGTGGCACTGAGCTGGGGGTGTAGGGAATTCTGAAAGAGGTGAGGCAATCCCTGCTCAAAAGCAGCTTCCAGTTGCTCGGAAGTGAGAGCGCGTTTCTTCCTCACCTGGCTACTGTGAGAGTCATGTTGTCTGTGCAGCCCTTGATTTTGTTCTGAGCTTCCAAGTGCGTCATATTGCTGGTATTTTCCCCATCGATGGCTGTGATTACATCTCCAACACATAAATTACCTATAGCAGCCTTGCTTCCAGGAGTGACCTGGATGGAAAAAAAGGAGTGAGCAGGTTTAGTTACTGTTTGTCTCCAAGGAAACAACTAAGTTACCATTGGGTGAAGGACTCACTGATATGATTCAAAGCATTTAAAAAGGAAAGAAGGCTAAAATCTTAAGTTACAATGATACTGACCTCTTACAGTTATGTAATACATTGAGGTTTATGAGTTGTTTCTATAAACCATTTCACTGGACCCACACAATAACCTTGTGAGAAAGGAAGGCAAATATCAGTCCCAATATGGCCCCCATTTTAGAGACTAGTAAACTGAGGCTTATGAAAGATTTGTGACTTATCTGGGATCAGCCAACTAGTTTATGTTACTAGTTATCCAACTAGTATAATACAAAGCCAGGTCTCAAACCCTAAACCAGACCCAGTGTTCTTCCCACTGACTCTTGTTGCTTCCTTTAAACAATTTACCAATTAAAACACACACACACTTTAGAGAACATTCTGTATAGAAACACCCTATTTCTATAATTAATGTTATTTACACACAGAAAAAAATTGGAACACTGTATACCAAACTGTTCACAATATTACATTTCTGTAATGTTTTTGATTTTCACAATGAGCTTAGAGTACTTTTGTAACTGAAAAAAAGCAACAAAGAATATTTTAAAGTATGAACCAGTATACACTGGTTCCTCCTAGCCAAAAAGCTGATTATTAGGGTCAGCCCCTATAGGTGGCTGATTTTCTTCAGGCCAATGCTTCTAAAACAAGGGGTTACAAATTTATGGGCCACCATGCTTGGGCGAAGCCAGTCAATGACTGCAGTGGGTCATCAAATCCATCTGCCTGCTGAGCATTATGTGTGACCTGAATAATTATCATGCCTCATTTGGAGTTGTACAACTGTTTTTCAAGTGAATACAGACACTATTGTGAGGAACAAAGTACAAACTCATTTTGAAGCAGCACTAACCTCAGAGATGTGTTTTACTATTAAGTATTTTTTTAAACCAAGGTATACTAAAAACATCTAGCTTCCCAGGTGGTGCTAGTGGTAAAGAATCTGCCTGCCAATGCAGGAGATGTAAGAGACGCAGGTCCGATCCCTGGGTTGGGAAGATCCCCTGGAGGAGGGCATGGCAATCCACACCAATATTCTTGCCTGGAGAATCCCATGGATTCTATAGCTTGGTGAGCTATAGTCCAGAGTCTCACGGAGTCAGACACGACTGAAGGGACTTGGCAGCATACTAAAAACAGGACCAAGGTCAGTCATGACTTTGGCATTACAAGACCTTCCTTGATGGGAAGTTCAAACCCTCTGGGAGCAGAGTACACCCAGGCTCCCAGCACCCACAGGGTTCTGGCCTCACCTTGGAAAAGGCCTTTGACTCCTGGGAGCCCAGTGAGGAAGCTCTTGTGAACACTTGAGGGTCACTATAAGGCTGAACCACAGGAAAGATGCCCAACACACTGAATTAGGACACAGGCTTATGCCCTGAGCCTCTGTATCTGATGCAGTTTTCAGCAGCCACAGTTTCCAGTCAGCCCTTGCCAGAAGGAAACACTGACCTCCTGAGGTGGCCGCTGTGATGCTGCCATCAATGTCTTCCCCTCACCAGCGCCCGGACCCCACAAAATAAGGGATGGATGACTTCGGTCCCTGAGGTTCCTTCCGGTTCAGACATGCTATGACTTTATCAGGCAAAACTCTGCTGGAATGTAGCAGGATGTGGAAACCAGTGCAGAGATCCTGACCTCCTAACCTTCCTTTCTGGCTTTCCCACCATCTGTTTACCAGAGATCTGGCCTTTAGAAAATGAAAGCCCCCAGTCTAAGGTTCGGACCTTCTTCCCATGCAGCCACTGGGAAAAGAAATTTAATACAAGCAAGCATGGCCGCTCTCCCTCTAGTCGACTTCAGGGAGTTAGCTCTGAGTCACCCAGTATGTGCAGTAAAAACAAATTCCTCTCATTTTCTGCCTGTCTTCCTGAGCAGACTGACCTGGTGTGACTGCGTATATATTTTGCCTTTTCTAAAGAACAATAGAGACCCCTTGTTTTAAAAATGGCCCTAAGCATCACTTTATTTACTCTGTCTCCAGGGAGAGCAGCCTGATGAACTCATTTGTCATAACCAATTCTCATGATGTTAAAGAGAAGTTCCCTTGGATAAAATCCAAAATCACTGATGAGGTCCCTAAGGCCCAGGCCATCCCCCTACTAAGCTCCAGCTACAGGGGCCTTCCTTCCTTCTTTCCTGCCTCAGGGCCTTGGCACCTGCTGTAGCCACTATCTAATTAACTTCTGGGCTTAAATGACCCTTCTCACAGAAGACATTCCTGATCTCCAATCTAAATTAGGTCCTGTTGTCAACCTTTTCATACATTCTCTTCTTCACAGCACTTGTCACATTAAGTTTGTAAGACTGTTTTCTGAGTTTGTTTACATATAATGCTTGAGGGCCTACTAAATGACAAGGTGTGAGAGCAGGATTTTGTCTGCCTTTTGCACTGTGATGTCCTCAGGTGCCTAGCTGTGACTGGCACAGTATGTGGTCAATAAATATTTGTCCAATGAATGATTGAATCCAAAATACCTTGCGTTGTTAAATATGTAATCATGCTACTTTGTTTCAGCCTTTTTAAAAAAATGACTATTTCAAAAGGAATGAAAAAACCATTTTCCCCAGCATCCCTATCCTGGAAAGTGACCACTCACAAAACTAAAATAAGATGCAGGTTGGGGGCGCAAAAAGCTTGAGAAAATGAAAAAACAGAGTTTCCTTTTACTTTCATATACTCAGCTGCTAAGAACTCTGGAATTTCCAGCACTTGGTTTAAACTGTCTTGAAGGTGAGACATTTCTGCTCAATACATCCTGACAGATTCTGGACAAGCTAGAACCAGTCTTAGGAGCCCTGAGCCTGAGTAATCAAGGCCTGGCCATCCCATCTTTTGGTCTTTTTTTTTTTTAAGCCAAATTAATGGGAAGTTAAAAGATATAAAACAATATCATCAGATGGAACTTGGATGGAATCACACACAAATAAAGTCCATATTCTTTTATGAGCTGTTTATTTCTGGGGGGGGTGGGGAAGTGGATTTAAATGAAATTACAGGACTTGCTTTTTACAAAGCTCTTTCACATACTTTCTGCTACTTGAGATAATAATGACGATGACCTCACCACTAACATGTAAGATAATTTTACAGATGAGGAAATTGAAACCCAGAAAAGCTGTGACTGACTCAAGTTCACACTGTTAAAGGTTGAAGCCTGAACTTGAAACCAGATCCTCTCATTTAACCAAATTCCATTCCTTTTCTGCTTTACCACAGTGCCACCAGCAGAAGCTCCAAACCCAAATAACTCTCAGAGTCTAAGATAAATCCAGAATTGAGGAAACTCATCTGTTGTGGCCTTCAACACAGGGAACTGGAGTGTCCCAAACTCCTACCAAGGCCTGGGTACCTCCTGCCATCTGTTAACCATCTCCACTGGTCTGTGCTGAGCTGGTACCCAGTAACACCTTCCCTTGAAAAATATTCAAATCAGAAATGAAAAGCCCTCAGGAAAGAAGGCCTGCGTCCCCTCTGGTTAGTTCCCATCTTGAATGGAGGACTCCGATCCTTACTGCACATTAACTATTCATCACAATCACAGCAACATTCATCCGTTAATGAGTGCTAATTATGTGTCAAACACAGTGTAAGCGTCTGACTAGAGTTAATTCACCAATCCTCCTCAGATGCTATCAGGTAGCCAACATTATTGACATCATCACAGAGAAGGAAGTAAAGTAACAAGGGTTAAGCAGTTTGCCTGAGGTTACACAGCTGGTGAGTGGCAGGCTGTGTGGCTCTGGAGTCCGTCCACTTAAACCAGTCTGCCACACTGTCTATTCTAATTTCCTCCTGACCATCAAATTCCATCAGAACCAGCTCATAAAGGAGTCAGCTTCAGCTTCTTAAAGAGAAGTTCTATACTCTCCTCCAAAGAGACAGGCCCATTAATTATTTCAATGGACATCCACAAAACCCTCTTCCAGCTTTCTTCCCCAGAGGCCATACAATTTGATCACAACTCTTCCTGCCTGAGAATAAATGGGGTTAAGCACAATTTCCACTAATGAATAATCTGCCATTTTCTGCAGAATTCACTCAAGTCTTTCTCACCCTTTGCCCCGCCAGGCAAACACTTTGCTTAGAGGCCAACCTGTACATCTGCCCTTTACTGCATCATCAAAGCCTGTGCACTGCTGTCAAGACTCCTGAACACAAAAGAAGATTCACTGAATTTCACTTCTAAATGGCACAGAATAGGATTATGATGGGGCTCACCCATTTTCTTCAATTTACAATCCCTTTTCTTCAATTTACATCACAAAGAGTCAGACACAACTGAAGTGACTTACCACACACACACTCACACATCTAAATAACTAATGCTGTTATATAAACCTGGATATATTCCCACTGGCCATCGCAAATGAAAAGATGACTTTCTTCCTCTGTATTATGGCACATACCTATTTTATCCCTCCTGTTACCTCCTTTCTCTCATTCATTCACTCATCAGACAGACATTCTTTAAGTACTTTCTGAAAGACAGTGTAACTTATTAAGATGTGGCTTCTGAAGTCAGATAGCCAGGAACCAAGTCCTGGCTCTGGTGTTTATGGGCTAAGTACCCCTGAGTGGGATATTTCACCTCTGTGTGCCTCCCTCTTCTCACCTATGAAATAGGAGTGATAACTGCCTTGGTGTCAGAAGGTTATCGAGAGGATTATACGAAATGCCCCAGACAGAGAACACTGTCAAGTTCACAGTCTCCTGGGGCAGACAGGCATGTACAGCAGCCGATGCTAGAAACAAGTAAAGATGCAATGAGAGAGAGCCTAAAGGTGGAATCAGGGAAGACTCCCTGGAGGAGGCATTGCTTAAAACTGTGCAAAGGCCCTATAGGAGGCAGAAAAGAGCATGCTGGCTTATAGGAACTGCATGTGGACTAGCACAGATAAAAC